TATTGGTGTGGCGAGACCAGGGGTATCCAACAGTATCTGATAAAAAAAAAAAAAAAAGGAAGTTGAGAAAATGCCATTCAGACATAGGATATTCCCTAAACAGACTAGACTTTTATTTGGATATTTCAAATGGGTTAGAAGAGGTACTTACGATTTGTGTGTCATCCTGTGTCAGGACACCAACAGCACGTGATCTTGTTGTGTGCACTTTCTCCGAAACAGCAAACAACTGTAAATTAACATTTATGGTTACAGACACAAGTTCTTTTAGGGATAGTTCACACAACAATTTAAATTCTGTCATTACTTACTCATCCTAATTCTGTATCTCTATGCAAATCTATCAAATTTTACTTGTGTACATTCAAACATGACATGTCAAAATGAAAGTCCCACGGAAGAAAAAGTCATACGTAATGTTAAAATTGTACATGGTCCCTTTTCAAATAAAGTTTAATAATAATAATAATACGGTTTTGGAACAATATTGTAACTATTACACCGCCTGTTATTTACAGGCTGAGTATATAATAAATAACATTTCTGGGTGATAGAAAAAAAAACGTTTCACCTTAATTTTTATTCCATATATTAGAATAATCTCACCTTTCGACCCAGCAGCTGATTGGTCAGTGTGGATTTCCCTGCATTAGGCGCACCCACTATTGCCACTTTAAGAGATTTGGCATTTTTAGGTTGATCAGGATCCTTTAGCACTAAGGAAAACTGATGACCTGAGAGTAGAACACATAAACACACAGACAAAATTGATTAAACGAATAGGCTATAACATCATAAATATCCACGGAGATAAGATACAAAGAACTGTTTTCGACATGTTATCTCTAAAACAGCAGTCCTGAAGCCTCGAGAGGGGCTGGTGATATTCCTACCGCTGTCTGATGGAACAGAGACAGGGTGATGACAGAGACCCTCATCGGACAAAACCGCTCTCCCCTTCTGCAAACGGTCCAAAAAAGTACCCGAAGACACCAAACTGGCAGGAGTACAGTGAAAGAGACATTTCCTTACTGTCTGTGGACCAAAAACTGAGCAACCTGTGAACAAGTAAAGGACAAACGACAGGTAAAATAATATATATTTTATGACTGATGTTGTTGTTTGATGTTCTATGAGTTTGGTTTTATTTCTGGTGGCGAAGACAAATACAATCAGTTTGTCATCTAGCATGCCGACACGAGATACAAGGACTGTAAACAGACTGTGTATAATCTATAATCTATAAATCACCTGATCCACGCAGATCCAGTGGCGCTTGCTCTGGGGCTGCTGTCAGTTTGCGGATCGCTGAAAATCGCAGAGATCTGCGTAGAATCGTCTCGCAAAGCCGCAAGGTCATTGCTAAAACCCGTTTTCTCTACACAAGTGGTTAATTTAAAAAGTTTCGCTCAGGTTAACCCTAGTACAAGGTTATCCTCGCCATGTTTGTTTACACATGTTTACAGGGCGCAGACATGTTGATTAAGTCGAGTGAAGAACTAGAGTGATGAATTACACACTACTGCCATCTGCTGCTCAGGCGCGGCCACAGAGGCGCCATAAATAAACTGCTAGTCTACTCTAAATTAATACTTTAAAGGGGTCATAATGATGCGATTTCAAGTTTTCCTTTCTCTTTGGAGTGTTACAAGCTGTTTGTGAATAGATAAGATCCCTAAAGTTGCAAAGACTTAAGTCTCAAACCCAAAGAGATATTCTTTATAAAAGTTAAGACTCGTCCATGCCTTCCTAAAACGCCTCGTTTAAACACGCCCCCACATATCTACCTCACTATGTGGTAAGATTAGCATAAAACCGCCCAAATGTATATGCAAAGAAAGAAGGCCTAACTTTGATTCTTGCTGTAGTATTGTTGCTGCCGCCGCCGCCATGTCGTGGAGACGCTGTGTGTTTCGTTGTGAAAGCGAAACTACTTTGATTTGTCTTCCAAAAGAGGACACGACTAGAAATCAGTGGTTAAGTTGTATTTACAACACTGTTCCAGAACAGTTCAAATCAAATATTCAGATGTGTGCAAAGCATTTTACGGAGGATGAGGACTGTTTCCTGGGAGAGCCTACAATGCTGGTGTTCCGGTGAATTCAGTTCCCGTTTCCCCTTCGGTGCGCATGCTGGCCTGTTTTTATACAGTCTATGATGCTGACAAATAATGCTGACTCACAGCCTGTAAGTATGTTTTCATATTTAAAGAATTTGCCACTGACGATTCAAACGCGAGTTTTGAGCAGTGTAGAGTAGCGCTTGTTGTTTGTCATTTCTCCGATCACAAATTCATACGTGGTTTTATGTTTACGCGGCTCAATGCAACGCAAACGTCCATGCCTTCCTAAAACGCCTCGTTTAAACACGCCCCCACATATCTACCTCACTATGTGGTAAGATTAGCATAAAACCGCCCAAATGTATATGCAAAGAAAGAAGGCCTAACTTTGATTCTTGCTGTAGTATTGTTGCTGCCGCCGCCGCCATGTCGTGGAGACGCTGTGTGTTTCGTTGTGAAAGCGAAACTACTTTGATTTGTCTTCCAAAAGAGGACACGACTAGAAATCAGTGGTTAAGTTGTATTTACAACACTGTTCCAGAACAGTTCAAATCAAATATTCAGATGTGTGCAAAGCATTTTACGGAGGATGAGGACTGTTTCCTGGGAGAGCCTACAATGCTGGTGTTCCGGTGAATTCAGTTCCCGTTTCCCCTTCGGTGCGCATGCTGGCCTGTTTTTATACAGTCTATGATGCTGACAAATAATGCTGACTCACAGCCTGTAAGTATGTTTTCATATTTAAAGAATTTGCTAAAAATAGAAGCGTTTCAGAAAGGCAGGGCATAGAGGAGAAACAATAATGTACAGTATGTGGAAAATAATGTGTTTTTTTTACCTTAAACCGCATAAACACATTTCATTACACCAAATTCACAAAATAATAACGTCATATGACCCCTTTAATATATTGACAGCCTGATAATAAAAACTAAGAACCTTTGTTAGCATTTCAGCTAGTACATAAGGAAATACTATAGCGTGTATATGATGCCCTTTGAATATTTACTTTGAGAGTGAGAGAGCTTCGAGTTCACTGGTCTAGCATGAGACAGACAGAATCAAAGGTTTGTGGTAAAAGGAGTCTTTGAGGACCAGAGAGCTGAGAATATGATACCTAATCAGAGCCGCTGAGACTGTATGTATGTTGTTTTCATCCGCTCAGGTAAAATCAGAGAGAACAGATGTGTTTTTCCATCTCCCATCAAAAGCTAGTCCACAAGGAGTAGCACAGAGCGGAAAAACGCTTCCACTGGGGAGAAGAAAGGATATCAGGTGGCTCACAATCTGTCAGCATTTCAGTTTAGTGAAAACTCACAAATAGTGTTGTTACGTTCGTGAACGAATCGTTCTTTTTGAACGAATCTTTTTGGTGAACGAATCGTTCTCGGTCACGTAATCCATTGACTCATATTTCTCGTTCACTGAAATTCCTCCCTCCACAGCAGCGCGGCGCTATTGGCAGCGCATGCGCAGATCAGTGAACCGGGTAGCTCTGTGGACTGTTTCATCCTGTCAAAGAATGACTAAACCTCGAGCCAATAGCCTTCGAGTATGAGATGTAACGGACCATGTGATTTGTTGAATGTAGTGAACGAATACGCCTTTCACTGAACGAGTTTCTTTTGAGTCTGAACAAGAGAGATCTTCTCGTTCGTGAACGAAATGACCGAACTGATACATGTCGTTGGTGAGTTGAATGAACTGGTACATGAAAATGAACGAATCTCTTGAAAGAATCAAAATTTCCATCACTACTCACAAAAGCAAGGAAAATTAGGATTTTGACTGAAGCAGAGATTTGCATAAGAAAAAAACATGAATAGTTAAGTTCATGAATTAGACACAAATATATAACATACAATCACATGTGCCAACAAAAACATGTTCACCATTCACTTAAACAAGACCTCTCTCACATGGGGTTTGTCCACCTTTATTTTACCATTCAGACCAGAAGAAATTGCACATTCTTTCGATATGTAAATCATTTAGAGCTACATATGATCAGAATTTATATAGATAATTGCTAATCTGATGTCGAAATTTATTCTGTATTTTAAAACACTAATTAGGTATTCGGTAATTAAAAATGAATGTCATAGACACATTTTGCAGAACTTCTAAAGATCTTTGGTGCTAATTATGTACTATTATTATCGCTGTATGATATAACTAGGATAACTGAGATTTAACTACCATTTGTACTTGAGACACTCGAATTCTTCCGTCTATTTTAACAAGATGTCCAGTCGTTGCTCAAGAAATGCAGACATCACGATGCTACCCCATCATACTTCACTTTAGGATTTTTTGAGATGTGGGCAGTAACTTCTTTTTTTCCAGCCATTAAAGCCTAGTGCAATTACGCACACTATAACTTTGAGGCAGTCGTGGCCTAATGGTTAGAGAGTCAGACTTGAAACCCAAAGGTTGCAGGTTCGAGTCTCAGGTCCGGCAGGAATTGTCAGTGGGGGGAGTGAATAACCTTTCTTCCATCTTCAATACCACAACTGAGGTGAGACCCTTGAGCAAGGCACCGAACCCCCAACTGCTCCCCGGGTGCCGCAGCATTGGCTGCCCACTGCTCCGGGTGTGTGTGAGTTCACTACTGTGTGTGTGCACTTGGATGGGTTAAATGCAGAGCACAAATTCCGAGTATCATACTTGGCCACACGTCACTTAACTTTTGACACAAGCAATATACTACATATAGACTCTGAACTCTAGTACCTTCACAATGTTTGTTCGTTCATTCGTCTCTTTTTTTCTGTTCTCTCATAATTCTTGTTTGCATGAGCTTTGTGAGATGACCTTTGCTGGCAAGTGTCTGTGGAATTTTATGTGTCTTCCACTTCCTGGAAATTTAGCCCTAAATTCGAAGAAAGCTCTTTAGTCTTCATTTTCACTGTGGTCTTATGATCATCTAAATATTCATCCAACTGTGTGGTTTTAATCTAGAAAAAAAAAAAAAAAACCGTCTGCAGGGCCAAATAATATGTAAAACATAATGTCACATTAAAATCATTCATTTGTGTTTTATAAATAAAATGTTGAAGATAAAAAAACCTCATTGTTAGATTTGTAAGTATGCAGGTTTTCCTCTTGGATGATATAAAAATTCTCGCATGGTTTTAAACATCTTGGACCATTTTAAATAGTTTCTCCAAAAAGAATTTGACTATTAAAAACTATTTCAGTTCTTGTGCCGATCTATATTCATGTGTAGGTTCTAATTTAAAAAGCTCAGAGTTAGAAGTGATAATAAAGAATCCCATATCAGCATAAAATGACACCCTCGTCCCAGGGTTGTGTGTGCTGCATGTGCCATTATTGTAGAGCTGTGAATGCTGAATAACTGCTGTCATGTCAAATATTTCAGTAGGTCTCTCTTTGTCTTTTGCAGTGAAGACAGACAGATACACACACACACACACACACAGAAATGTCCCGCAGTTACAGCACAGCACTGCGACCTTTCTGCAGGCAAGGAGGAATAACAAAGCTGCGGAGATGTTGAGTATACGACAGGCGTGTGACAGGAGCTGGCTGAGCCGTGCTGGGTAGCTGCTACTCAGGCAGAGATGCAGCTCCGACTTACTCAGCCATTACACATGATTGCAGCACAACACACAAAGCCATGCAGCTGAGGCATCCTCTGTCACTTCCTCATCAAAACACTTTTGGGACGATCATTTTAAAAAGCACCCAGAGGTCACATATTTAGCAGCCCTGATTCTAGCGGGAGAGAGAAAGTAAGAGGAGGAGGAAAAGTCGTACTCTATCAGAATTTTGCAATCAATACAACTTGTCTGTGAAGTGGATCAATAATGCATCTCCTTTAAACCATCAATCACTTCAGAGTTGGGCATAAAAAGCATAATTAGGACCACCGTTCCTTAAACATCCTGCTTTGACGTCTTTCGGGGCCAAGGAAAGACACCATTCTGCATCATTAACGTTGCATTATTGTGTGATGAAGCACACTGCTGAGCACTTCCCCTCGGCTGCCTCAGGCTCTGTGGGTGCAAAATCACTTTTCGTACTGGTCCAGGATCAGCCATCATAACCTTAATAATTCCAGGAAAAAAAGTCTGAAACTGCACATGAACAGCTTCAAGCTTCTATTTCATTATTCCCGTGCACATAATGGCTTTTTATTTTGAGAAAGCCTTGTGACCCTGATATGATTTCCCAGCACGTTGAATGGCCTGGTCTGAACCAGCGTTTTCTTATTTCTCAATGGCAAAGATGAGAATAATATGTCTTGATCACCGCATAATTCTGCCTGCTGTGAATCACACAATGCCTGGGTAATGATAATCGTGATGACAACAGTTTCTGAGAGGATGTGCATCAGGTAGAGATGAGTGGCAAACCATCAGTTTAATTACATGTCGTTATTCATTCTATAAAATTCCATTTTATAACTGCAGCAGCCCTATAGTGTTGTTT